TCGGCGCCAAAAACTTGATAAGCTCCGATCTGGGCAAGTGCAACGAATCGTACAAGTAATACCACGATGAAGTGGGTATCGTTCTCACGAGGAATAAAAGACCAAGCAATACTATCTATTAATTATTCTAATCAGATCAAAATAAAACTTTGAAGGAGTGATGGTATGTAACTCGAAAATTAACAAGAACAAAGAACAAAAAATTACTTGAGTTTGAATCAATGGAATGAGATGTTAAGAGCTTCAGAGATGTTTTTCCCTTGAGGGCCAATGCATACATTCGAATACTAATTCTCGGTCCTCAGTTATCAAGCACAACGAATCTAGTATAACTAAGCCCTAATCTCTTAGTAACTCAGTTTCTATTTACCTAATCAAAATCTAATCTCTTAGTCAATCAATCAAATAAATAGATGAAGATCTGAATCCGATTCTAATTCTTATGAGTCTCAAAAGTGATCCTAGATTAGATTAAATGTCACTCTATCCAAACTAGTTCTAATCCAATTTTAACCCACAGAATTTTAGTTGCATAACAATTAACTTGACTATCTCTAGTTAAACTTAATTGATTATGTGATTCAATTTCCAGCTAGCATAAACTAATAGATCTCTCAATCTAATTAATCTAGCCCTAGACAAGTTAAGAACACCTCTCAGTGATTCTAAACTATTGGGATGAAGAACAAAAAATTAAATCATGCATAGAAGATAACTAAAAATACCTCAATGAATTAATAAACGAATGTACATAGTGACTACCTCATGCTGGGTGAACAGAGCTCCTCACCCTTAACAATGGAGTAGTTTAGCAATGCATAATGAAAACTAGATCTAAGAATTATGAAAAGTAAATATGTGCTGAGTTAATTACCCTAAGTGGTTAATTCTCTCTTTATACCTATCCTAATCTAAATTCAAATTAAAATCTAATCATATCCTAGTCTAATCCAAATCTTATCTTCTATAGTTACAAAGCTTTATCTTCTTCTCTTGATCTTCATTCAGTCTTATCTTCAATATTCTAATTATGCTCTTGATTAGTGGATGGATTTGAGGCCTTGATGACATGGATTGGATTGATTCTGATTAAACTGGACGTTGCCCCTTTTTCTTCACCACGTATAACGTGGCTCTCCCACGTATAACATGGGGTTACTGTCTAAAACTAGAGCTTCACTTTTAGTCCCCACGTATAACGTGGGGTCTCTGTCCAATTCTGTCAATTGCTTCTTAATTCCCACGTATAACGTGGCACTCTCACGTATAACGTGGGCTCACTGGATGAGAGAGAAATAATTTCCACGTATAACGTGGGTGGCTCATGTATAACGTGCAGCCTCTGTCCAATTTGGCAATTTGAGAGCTAATTCCTACGTATAACGTGGGCTCTCCACGTATAACGTGGAGCTTGACACTTAGAATTTTTTTTCTCTCTTTCTTCTCTGTTTCGTTCCTCCATCTTCAATCCTCCTTTGTTTGATCTTTAATCACCTAAAATCCTTTGTGAAACACTCTATAAGCATAAACAAAACTCAAAAGAACATCAAGTTTGTTTGATTGACAAATTGAGAGTATAAATCACAAGAATAATCATATAATTAAAGAGGAATTGAAGCTAAAAACAACCCAAGATGCATACGCTTCAGCGTCAGTTTGAGTTGTACTTTGTTTATTTGTACTTTTCCCTTGTACTTCCTTTCAGTTGGGTTTTCGAAGTTTGTAGTACTTTTGTTGGGTTTTCTGTATTTGGAAATTATCTGGTAATCTTAATTATATGAAATTTCCTGTTTTACTTATAACTGTGATTTAATTGTTTAATTTATTTGTGATCCGAAGGATATTTCGTCGCTATCGTTACACTACATCACGACAGGCTTGTAAGTTTTGGAATTTTAGAGTTAGGTTTTTAGTGACATCTTCGACCGTAGGTGTGATCATGACATACCGAAAGTCGGGGTGTTACAGCATGTCCCAGGGATGGCAATGGTAGGACTCGCCATATTGAGACCAGCGGCGACAAGACTGGCACCAACTGCGATAGCGGACGCGGCGGCATAGGCAGTGGGCACAGCAACTTTGCCGATTACTTTTGTTGGTGGAAGGTTTCTACAAGTGGTTCCTTCAAATTTCCTTGGAAT